ATGTGGGATATTTTATTAGAGAGTAGTGTTGCTTGATTCTTCTCATCTCTGCAGTCTCCTGACCCTTTGACCTCACACGTACACTATTAATTCCAGGGAGTTCAATGTAAATGTATCCCATATCTGTTAATATGTGTCTAAATGCATGAAGACATATGGAAAGAAGAGGCAAAAAAGAAATAGATCAAAGCCAGTGTTGGAGCAAAGCAGGAACTAACGTACATGACGTTTGAATACTGTCAACTGTAGTCTCTAAAATGTAAAATTCAAACTTACTCCTACAGAACTTATGACAAAATTTACCTGACTGATGGAAGAGAGTTGCTTCCTAACATACTAAAACTGAAAAAAAATAGGTTTAAACAACTGCAAAACACAGCCTAACAATCACCAGAGACTCAAATCTCTTAGAATTAAAATAAATTTAGAAATACAGAAAAGTACAGAAAACTGAAATATGAGAAGAAAAGTGTTGACTACAGAAAAGGCTAAAACCTAAAGAAATGACTTAAATAGTGAAATTAATGACATTTGTTCTTCATTTGGTGTAATTTTTAAAGTTTTTTAATGCTAAGTGCCAAGGAGTATTTACATTTTAATGGACTGGTGCTTCATAGATGCATCATTACTTTCATTGCTTTTTTAATATTGTTATTAATTGTATGTATAGTACAAGGAGCTGGGCTGGTACATGCATGTCCACTTTCTAAGCTGTGGGTCTTCTGAAGAAGCTAACGTCTTTGATTTACCATCCATTCACTAGACAACAGTAAAAATAGGGCCAAGTGGGGACCAATAGGGGGTCTAATTTCTATTGCAGGCAGTGGGAAAACCATGACAAAGGCAGGGAAGGTGCTACTCATCAAGGAAGGACTCAAATTGAGGAAAAATATTAAATGATTTAAAACTCCTTTATAGTTGCACAAAGAATTCCTAACTTCCCCCAATATCATATGGTATATCAATGGTATATCCAATATTAGTTTGGTTATTACTTTTTTAAGTCTCAAAGAAACTAGAAAAAAATGAATTTCAGGTCTTTCTAGTTTACAAGTTTTTTGTACTCGATGTTTCAACTCGTATAAATTTCCTTTTTTGGAAAAAAAAAGCACTTACTGCAATGCTCATATTCTTAGCTAGCTAGAAACAAGAGGCTTGTTTCCTCCTAACATTCCAAAACGTGCTCCTCGCATTCTAAAATGCTTCCAAGTGGAAAATGTTTCAGGACTTTAAGTTTTTGATCCAAACAAAATTTTTTTCAAATTTTGTATTAACTGATTTCTTTACGACTGGCACATGATAAAAAAGAAAAAAAATTCAAAGAATAATTTATAGAAAGGTCTGGGTATATATTTGACTCCCAATTTAAAATAAATGCAAGGGTCTGGTTTTTTGTGGTAGATTCGTGTCTGCTCTTATTTTCATCTACGTGTATTTACCGGTCTGCTGTGTTTATTTACATATTCAAATTTCTGGTTTATTTAAATAATATGTATATTAGCTATGCCCTCTGACCTTTTTTAAATTGCGCAATCCAACCTTTAAATATAAGTTCCGAAGTATATTTTTCGAAGAGGCCTGTGGCCTGGTGGTCTAGCTTGCTGACTGCCAGGCCAAGGGACCCTGGTTCAATTCTGGCCGGGGTCCCAGAAAAGGAGGTTTTTTTTTTTTTTTTTTTATATACTAAGTTTTTTAGCAAAATTGTGCATGCCCACCTGGATTTGAACCCAGGTCCTTGTGCATAGCAGTCCGTCTCCTTAACCGCTATGCCACGGCTCTTTCTTGAAAAAGTATGCTCGTTTCTAAATCTTAAACCTTCCATTGTTTGGACTTAGAATATATTTCAGCAAAAGTCAGTGTTGGAGATAGGCAAGGGGTACCCTTGCAGTTTTCTAAATGTGAGGCAGGAAGTCTGAGAGTGGGTCAGGGTATGGAAATAGGAAACAGAGTTGATGGCTGAGGGCTTGGGAATATCAGCATAGGGCAAGGGACTATTGGTATTGGTCAGGGTTTATAGGACCACATGGGATGAAGGGCACTGCTTCTTCATGTTCCAAATTGAGAGTGGGTTTTAAGAAACTAGATGAGCTAAGAAGACTGTTTAAAAGTGGCAGAGCTTGGTTCATGTGTAAGTCAGAAATGTAAAATCTAAAGAATTAGGGGAAAATACAAACCAGGAAGTGTTGAGATTAGGGAAAAGGTTAGTGGCAAAGTACTGCATTTTCAGAAACAGAAATGAAAACAGAAGTTGCTCTGGAATAAAATTTAAGGTACAGGCATTTATTTCATAACCAAAATGACCTTATCAATACACGACATGGTTATTTTGTCGCATAAACCAAGAGGTGTTTTAGCAAGTTGATATATTAAACAAATATATCAACTCCAAATTGTAGTAACTACGATAGTAGAAGCCAGAGATAAAGTTCTTGTACAACTGGACATAACAAATGCTCAGAGAAGCTTGGAATGGCCACTGGGTGTGCTGAAAAGTGTACATGTATATCTTTTACAGGTATTTTGATGTCTGAATGGATGCATCTGGCATGAACAATACAACGTTAAATCAACTGGCATACATTTAAAATTGTTACGTTAGTCATTTAGCTTAGTGATATTTACAACATCAAAAGACCCCCCCCTATTTTTAAAAACATTTTCCCATTTGAAAGCATCTGGAATACTTACAAAAAGGACACAAAAGTTAAATACTGTACAAGAAAAAAAGTTATAAAACAGGATAAAACCAGCATATTAAAACCAGGAAATCAAGCAGGATTTAAATAAACTAGGGATAAACAGTACACAAGTCAGCATGCCTGCATGCATTTATGTGCCTTCTTATTGGTTTTTCGTTGCGACAAGAATGCATTTCACAAAATGTGAAATATTGAAGCATCTCATTACTATTAGAATATGAACGTATCTAAATACATACATGCACTGAAGTCTCTGATTATTACTTATATATGATGGCATAATACACTTGTATGGAAATGCTTTCAAGCTTAAACAGTGAATACAGGGCTAGACACATGCAGGTTCTTCCTAAAGAACTTGTATTTTTTTTGTTAATGTGTTCATAACAATGGGCTACATTACATGCAGCACTTACTTTATATTTGTGCAGAATCAATCTACCTCACTACTACATGAGCCAGATATACTTGCCAACATGGACATAAATTACCCTTCTACATGCATCTCTTAATCACAACTACTGGAAGGTACTTATATCCTGTTTTGTTTTTTGGCCTGTTTTACTCTAGATGTGTATGGAATATGCATCGGATGTTTCACTCTGAATAAGGATGGACGGTTGAATCGACATATTTTCAGGTGAGTCTGTGACAAATTACTGTCATGGTCTACCTCCTCAGTGACACTTTTGTACATTTATGTATTGTCTTTTCCTGCAAATGTTGCTAATAAGATTCAGCAGTGCATTGAACCATTCTTCCTTCCACTAGGAAGCCATCTCAATGCATTGATTAGTCTAAACATGCTTGCACAGGCCAACAGGTACTGTGTATGCCTTTGATTGCCAGCATAAATCCACAAAACCACCTGTTAAAGGTACCGTCTGTCACTTGCAGTATCCAAAAATTAACCAAGGAGATCACTGTATACTTGGGCTTAAGGTCATGGGACTTAATTCCATGTGAAAATGATTCTTTCCGCTATTAAGCTGCAGTATTGAACAACGAAACATGGTTATTTAAAAAAAGGAAATTGCCCCAAGTAGTTTGTTTTACTTCAGTGAAGTGTGTTCAAGCGACGAGATGACGGTGATTGGAAACTATAAATTCTTGATTCAGTGCATGACGTCTGACATCAGCTGAATAAAAACTTGTCCCAGATGCTGAATTTGGGCACAATTCATAACGAGGCTCACCACATTTTCGAATATAAAGTGCCCACCAAGCTGCAACTTCATTAGTTTAGTTGCTTGGCACTTTTCTTTTTGGGGGAGGGGGGCCATGTTTAATGCCTCAAAGGAACAAAATGCACAAATGATGGACTGTACCTTTAAGCGATCACACTATAATTATACTTATACTCTACAACTCTTAATATACGTACACTATGCATCCTTTAGTATCCTAGATAAAAACAGCAAGTACAGGCAATTCACAATATCGTGCCTCCAAGAGTTTCCAACGCGTTGACCAATCACAAAGTGCGAAATCTGTCGACCCATTCCAAATGCGCATTAGGTCGACAGATATCACGTATTGTGACTGGCCAACCATTGCAAAGTCTTGGAGGTCCACTATTACAAATCGCTCGTATTATCACAGGGATGGCAACCATGTACAAGCTGTTCTAATCATATTGCAGTGATTCAAACTTTAACAGATATACAATTTTCATACAGTCCCCAAAGTCAGTAAGAGGTTCAAGGATGTACAGTAAATCTGCCATTAGGTCAACCCCCCCCAAAAAATGCAACAAAACAGGATGACAGTCTTTGGACAAATTGAACATCGGGGGAAAAAAAGAAAATGGCAGCAGGGTGTAACATTTTTGCATATGTGCTGCTTCAGCAATTGAATGGTCAAGGTAGTACAACTCGGCACGATTTCCTAGAGGAACTAATCATGGCTCTAATGCTACCCACAGATAGACATCCAAAGGCAGCATCCTGAACAGCCCCGCCAACGTACCACTGAGGCCTTCGCTTAAGTTGGCAGGAAAGTGGCCTATCAGCAGCCCAGACAAAATCCCACAAGCCCTGCACAAACTGAAAGTGGCAGGCTATGTTCTTCCCAAAGAGCAAAGGAGAACAAGAGTTTGGAGCGACTGATTTGGTTATTGATTTGACTGATTTGTCTGCATGCAGCACTCCCATGTCAGTTATGCATCATCCCCTTGATCAGTCTTTGTGTCTGAACTGTTGTTTGTTTTGTATGGTAATCACGTTTTTGTTCCATAGTCAAATCAATGACAAATTAATTTCGATCTTTATTCCAGAATCGTCTTCTTTATTCCTGATTATCACTAATTCACTTTCTTTTTTTTACTTTCCTGATGGCTTTTTTTTTAGTTTGTATTTTTTCAAATCACGAAAGCAATGACAGTGTTTTATGCCTTTGATTTTTCTCATTTGCAGTTAGCTTTTTCAGATTTCCAAATTAACAAAATGATTGTTGTCTTTATTCCCCAATTGTGTTCTTTATGCGTGATTAACTTGATTTTATTGGTGTTTTCTTTTTTTCCCTTTTGTGCTTGTTATAAATTTACTTCACATTTATTGCATTTGTTTCTAAATTGTTTTCTTTTAGTTTGATGATTTGTTTGAGTGTGTTTGAACAATACAATACCAATGCACTCATTTCCTGTCTTTGTTATTCTGTTCTCTTGCCACAGTTGGAAAAGAAATTTGGCTATTTTCTTACACTAAAATGAAAAAACCCAGTTCTTAATGAACCCATTATAGAAAAAGGGACATAAAAGGACATTTAAAATCAAAGATAACATAAAAATGTCATGCAAGTGTTTCCTGGAACTCAAATTAACCATTTAGAGGGATTAAAAGAGCTTTAGGCTTCCCCAGGGGGTTGTTTACAAACAAAACTGACTGGTCATAAAAAAAAACCATGTTGCTCCATTGCATTACTTTTTCATGCAAGCTGATCACAGCTTAGCACAAAACTAGATTTCTGCAGTGTACAGTCTTTCCAAATGGTGAATATTTTCTGGCCTCCATGTTGCACAACTTAAACCATTCTGCCTCTACATGCAGTGATTCTTCATTGTATTTCCAGTCGTATCAACTCTGTCGTTAAAAAAGAAGCTGTATTGTTTTTGCAGTGTATTGTGGGATAGTTCCCCAAGTGACTGACTTGCAGCTCAGTTAGGTGCGCAAGACCCATGCAAGGATGAGGTCACAAATACGGTTGCATTTATGCCTTGTTGATAACTCAGGCATGCTCAACACATGAATGCTGTTCAATGCACGAAATACATGTATGCTCATGACAGTCAATGTATCAAAAAGTACACGGACACATAAAGGAGAGTAGTAATTCCTTAAAAAGCAAACAGAAAAACTGTATTTCATTTACAAAGCTACCTTTTCAGTCATACCCAATGTTCTGCCCAAAGCTCCATTCTTGGGACGTATATACAATGTAGTTCAACCCCCTCAATTTCATGCAGATCAGCAGTTTTTCTTACTTTCCATGCTTCTGTGTCATCCCTGTTATTTTGCTCAAATGCCAGTGTTCCGTCTTCAAAACCACTGTATGTTTGCCCTAGAAGGAATGTGATTCATAAGTTTTTCTGGGTGTCTGTATTTTGTAGTCCTCTGCAGTGTGTGTATGCCAGTGTATGCAGACTTTTGCTCTGTCACTACGGCGCAAGCGAGGAACCGAATTGCTGGGAAGACCGAGTCCTTTCCTTGCCTCTATCAGCAGCTGCTGACGAACACCTCTCATGATATCTTGGAAACTGTTCCTCCTCAGCTATCCTCATCTCTCCTCGGCCCAGTAGGCTCCCCCTTGCTTTACTTGTCTTTGTCGAAGGAGGCGAGGGCTTGCTCCTACTCCCGACTGCAGATCTGCTCCTCTGCATGTGTTCAGCTTCCACCTGACGATGTCTGTGGGAACAAAAATAAGCTAAGAATGAAACGGAGCAGGAAAAAAGACATTCCTGAAACTTCCACAATTCTTGCATGGTCTCATGTTTACACCTTATTTCATACAAAACTGCTGGTGCTGTAGATGGGCCTGACTGACCTGAAATCCCTGAAACTCAATCACAAGTCAACCTGAAATTGAGTTCTGACAAAAGGATTCCTTTATCATTGTTCACCCTATTACTTGCGAAAGGACTCGATATAGACCGAACTGGCATTGCCCATAGTAAATTGTGTTTGATTTGTAAGTCACTCCTTAAAAACTATTTGATATCCTTTATAGTGGTATTCATAACAACGGACCTTTTCTCAACCTTTGGTAGAGTAGATTGCCCTTCTGAACAACTGAGGGCGTACTGCCAGCGAGATCAATCAGACCACGGACCTAAAATTCCAATAAACTGACAGTACCCATAGAAATCAACGCCTGAAAACTAGCTCCATGGATGTCACAGTTTTGATGGCACCCAACTAAACGTACAACCATGGGTGGAAGTATTTCTACAATGTGTGCAAGTCTACGGAGTGATGTTGCGTTGCGATGCAAATGGGCCATTTAGGATAATAACGCATAGATGGTTCAAAATGAACTTTCACTGGTGTACACATAAAGAGTGTCTGTACATGTCAGCCGTGTTTTAGAAAAGTCAAGAGTGGGGCAGCTTTGTGACGGTCCCCAAAAAAGCCTGGCTCTTTAAACCAACCAAAAAGTATCAGATCTGTTAAGAAGTGGACTTACCTTACATATGGCGGTGGGTGTTGAGGATACGGAACACCAGGATGGCCGGAGGCAATGTGGATGGGTGCTAGGTGGTGAAAGCTGTCCTAAGGCAGGTCTGGAAGATGGTGATGTCCTGTACCTGGAGGAATTGTACACCACAGAAATGAATTAATGGGATAAGGTTGGCCGTAAAAAAAAAAAGAAGGTGCTTGCCCCAGGTTCAAATCCAGCTCGGCTTTGGCTGTCTAACCTCAGCACTCATGAAAGTCATCAGTTGAATCAAAGGTCCCTTGACTGCAATTTCCACATAGCTGGTATCTGAGGGAGGATTTTCGTTACCACTATCTATAATCCCCCAGTTGAACTTGAGGGTGAGTACTGAAAATGTCTTAAGACCTAACTTAATGTATAAACTCAAATGAACTCTGCTCAAATAGCCTTGAGATTTAGATGGTCAGTATAATGAGATTTGATGAACAATTATGCCTATCAGTCTCGTTTTACAAGCCCAGAAAAGGAGATTCTTCTAGACTACATCCACAAGGAATATACCATAGAATGGAGGGGGGGTGCCCAAATATGAAAGTAAGCTTCTTGAACAAAAACGGTATTTTTTGTACATTGACTTCCTTTCACTGACTGAAAAGGTATTTATGGATGGCAATAAAAAGGTCCTTGGTCCAGCACACATTCCCATATTACAGACTTAAGCTATACTTAAATTTCTCTCACCATCTGGTCAAGTTCTCAGTGTTGAGACCATTGGAAGACCCTCCTGTCCATCAACCAGGGCAGTAACTGATACCGCAAAGGTTTCATGGGATGTGATGTCGAGTGGGTTGGTCAACGCTGACGCCGTAGTCGTAATGGCCAAGAAGGAGCCTGCAGTTGTTCCCACACCAACAGAAAGTGCTGTTTGACACCGAGCGACGGTGGCGTGATGTCCCTGGCAGCTAGCCTGTAACAAGGATAAAAACGGCAGATAGGTATTTTCATCAGGTGAGTACAAATGTGAATTTGATGTTGCAAACACTTGAATGCGAAATATGCCAAGGTTAAAATGCGTTTAACTGTTTTTGTACCAAGTATGAACCATCCTCGGTAGATGTCTCATGCCTCAGCACACAGCCCTCCATTGATAAATACAGCTTCAACCTGTATGTACATTATATATATCATTCTTTAAAACACATATGGGCCTATGCAGGTTTCCTGATTGTCAAAAAGCTTTGACAATGTACGTATCACTGTGAAACCATTCAAAGAAATGAGCACTAATGTAATTTACAGACAGATCAAATTTTAATGCTGCAAATTTTGCAAATGATGAACGCATTTCAACTAAAGCAATTTCTGAAACTTCTAACAACATGGAATTTGCAGCAATTTCACATTTGCCTAAAGTTAAAAACAGACTTACGTGGGGGAAAAAATGATTCTTTTGTGACTCACATTATTGTCATTCAATGATTGGACTCAAGGTACTTTAACATCTCAACTTACTTAAATTTCTTTTCGGTTTCAATTTGTGACTCACCTGTTCGATACTGGCAACTACCCCGCTCTCTCAATCTTCAAAGTCCACCTCTACCACTGTAAGAATGACCTGACGGCTAGCAGTTTTGATGGTGAATGTGTAGTCAGTATTCAGGCTTTGCCCTGTGATGGCAGTCAAGGGCTGGTGGTGTGGGCATGTAGTAAGGGTGTGACAGCCAGTGTTGATGGGCACCACCACGTACATGTAGTTGAGTACACGTAGAGATGACCTTCCCTAGGGATGAAGTCCAGGCCAAAGTGAGTTGTATGGCTTCGATGTCAGGGAGCAGAAAAAGACCAATGTAGGTTCTAAAAGACTTCAGGGAGGAGGAAGAATAGCAGAATGATACACGAGTACGAGAAATGTAAAGGAACTTGGTCCAACAGATTGGGAAAGCAGGAATTCAACACATCTAATGAAAGGTGGAGAGATGAAAGACAACTTTAATTAAACACCAGCAGTGAAATAACCCTTTCAGCCCCAGAAGTGCCAGCCGGGCTCAAAGTGGCATGCGGGTTCTTTAACAATGTGCCATCTCAATGCAGAGTAACTAGTCATGGTTTCCCAGCAGAAGTTAAACATGTTAAAAGATCACCCTCAATTAACTTGCATATGGTACGGAAAACAGAACACGTTTTTTTGGCAGAATGCCACTTTGAGAGGGTTAGTGTATATAACCAAACGTGAGGTGAATCAAGATTTAGTTTACAGGCAGTGTGTGTGAATAGGCATTTTAGTCCAACCCAAAACAGGGCAGCCCCATCTATCACCACTTCAATGAACAGCTGAATAAAACCTACCTACGTAATTCCTAGTTTTTTTTCATGTACAGTGCTTTGATGTTTGGTGTAAACACTTTATAAATATTGTTCTTATCAGTCCTGATATTATTCTTGAATAATGCAGGCCTGGATGGCAAGCAACTTCCTGTGATGATTCACACAGATAAAGGCAGTGAATTCAATAAACATCCATTCCAAGACTTGTAAATGAAGCATTGGTATCATTACGACAGAAACAGGTTTTTTTATTTATCAATCAATCTATTTTTAGGGTTGATGTCACGATGTCATGATGATGTCATTGTTTTCCATTGATATTGTGCAACATGTTGAAATACCCCCCTCTCCCCCACCCTTCAAAAAATGGGACATCATTCCAAAAGGACATCAGTCTGGTTTGAAGTAGTCAGGAAAGATGGCTTGTCCCAAAAAAACCAAAGCAGTGCAGTGCGTTACATACTTTATGTAAAATCAAAAGAACTACAGTACTCACATAATGGAACCCCTACCTTTACCCATCCCAAATGTTACATGTATGACAAAGTTGTGTCACTGTTGAGGACACTATGTGTTTTTGAAGCATATCTTCATGTGTATAATATTTAAATTCAAGTCATTATTAACTTCTGTAGCATATATGCTACATATGTTGATTTAAAAAAACAGTAATTAAAAAAAATTATGTTCGTTTTATTTTAATTTTAATCCAAAAAGGTTGTAAAAAAATGTGTACTCAATTTTTTCTCAACTTCTGTATGGTCTGGGATATACCGGGTTAACTCCCTTTAATTTGTATTTTCACTCAAACAGAACCTAAGAGGTTTCAGAAAAATAGCAGTTCCTCCCCCCAGCTCCAAGGGAAAAATGCCGAGAGACCGGGCAGTGTCTACCAATGTCCGGAGTGCGAAAAGAAGTTTACCCGACGAAATTCTATGCGGCATCACGCCAACCTGCACGACACTACAAAGGGATTTTCCTGTCACGTGTGCGATGCAACATTCAAGCGACGGGATAACATGTGGCACCATCTGTGTCAGCATCACCATAGTGCCAAACCCGAGCCCAAGAATATGGCAACAGCTGACCCGATCCAACATCCCCTTTCCGTCGCCATCGTGGATGAAGACCAGCCCGGCTGCAGCCACTGGCATGCTCCTGCACTTTGAGCTCTCCCTTCCACCAGGGACGGCAGAAAAGAGCACCGATGTCCTGTGTGTGGAAAGGCATTCACCCGTACTAATTCAGTGAGAAGTCACATCACCACGGCGCACTTTGAGCCAACTCCCCAAAGGTATGACGTTGGACAATCTGGCCATGGCGGAAGACCTGCTCGAGGTAAAAATCCAGGTGTACAGCCTCTCGACACCGACTTCGGTGCCACGCGTGAACCAAAGTCCTAAGGCGATGTTAAAGCGCACCGTTCATTTCAGAAGTACTCGACCACGCTACGCGTAAACCTGTATGGTAACCACTTCTCGTACATTGCCGATATGAACGCGTATAGCCGGGTGTTCGAGTGTCAGAAATGTAGGATAATGTTTACTAAAACCTTCAACCTCCAATGCCAGGAGCCCAAGTGCGATGCCAATGTAAGGCACAAGTTTCTGGGTGGTGTTTACGCCCTGTGCAAGTCAGTCTTTGACAAACTGGCTGAAATGGGTATTGACATTGAAAAGTGTTATTTTGAGCAGTTGCCTGGAGACGCAGACCACGACGGAAAGCTAACCTGGTGTGACCGCCACGAACTGATCAGCGTCAGTGTAGCCAGCAATGTTCCTGGTTTCGAGGACATGAAATGCTTCGTGATGGATGGCAACCCGGCTGAACTTGTGAAGAACATGCTGGTCTACATGTACAAGATCGGTGAAGAGGCCTACGAACGCAGGTTGTACCTGTTTGAGGGTGCATTCATCCGCATCCACTAACTGGAAGATGACCACTACCTAGACGACAAGTCCCTTCCCAGATAGGCTACATGGAAAACCTGCGTCAGGAGTTGAACGACTACCTGCGCAAAATGCCCGCCATCGGATTCAACTCCAGTAAGTACGACGTCAATGTCATAAAGAAACACTTGTACAGATGGTTACTGGCTGCTGATGACGAGATCCAAATGAAACCAAGCGAGCCGGGTCTTTGTGTTTGGGCGTACCACATGGTACTTTCAGCAAAGAAAACAATATGCTCCTTTCACCAAATTTGGTGGTCCTTTCACCGAATACATTAACACCTTCCTAAAAATTAAAAAGAGTTCTGCTCTGCCTCAATGTGACACCAAAGAAGACATTGACACAAAGATGCATTATGAAAGAGACGAGATCGCCCTGGATAAAACTAATAACAAATGCACCTATAAGCAGTTGAATCCTCGCAGCAGAACGACATGACGTGATTTCCCTGAGGAACTTACCGCGTCTCTTACAATGCCACAGATAGACATCTGACGGCCACACCCAGAAATGCTCCAGGCAACATACCATTGATGCCTTCCTTTAAGTGGGTAAGGAGGTGGCCGTGTGAGCGCCTGCAGCCCCGGTGCAGACCGGAGGATGCAGACTGCGTCTACCGGTATAGAGGAGGAGGACCCCAAGAGTTTGCAACGGCTGCCACAAATACGTTTGTATTGACTACTTCCGTGTCAAGACAGAGGGGCACTGAATGTATGGACTGCCATGTGGCACTGTAGAGAAGTAGTCAATGCCCATGTGTTCCAAGCATTTTCCAAGAAATACACATAGATCTTTTTTTTTTTGGTCTGAATTGTGTTGTGTTACGCCTTTGATCAGTTGTAGCTAAAAAAAAAAATAAACTCCAGAGTCAAGTCACTGAAATAAAAAATGGGTAAAAGATGGGCCAAGAGTGTGAACCACTGTTGTTTAAAGATCGGGCTCCAGTGAGCCAAGTGATGAAAGAAAATTTGGGAGCAGTCTTCTAAGGCATAAGGCAGCTACAGTGAACCTTGGACAATTTTGAGGACAAAAGACTAACAATGTGACTATGAACTCAAAACGTACGTAGGTCAGAGCTGACATACCAGTGTACATGTCCATGTATGTACAAACCTCATACAGTAATACAAGTCACCACTGACAAGAAAATTTGAGTACCAGATTGTGATCTACCAGAATGACTTAAGTATTCATTTTTAAACTTTAAAATTGTCAATTAAGGTCTAATTGAAATAAATGAGGGCAACTTTCTGTGTGCATACCGGTATATGTGAACTGATGCCATTCAGGGATGGGGTTTCACTGTATGCGCTAGCTATCCAATGATACACGTACATGTACAAGGTAGTGTTTGTTGGCCACCTGAGTCATAATCAGACTTTTTGTCATCAGGCTTTCCATACACAAAATATCAAGGGACAAAAGCTCAAAACTACATGTACATTGTTTGAAATACATACTTTAAGTGCAGAATATGAGATTTTTAATTCTTACAGTGAGAGTGATGCGAATACTACATGTCGTCTGACAATGTAGCCTAAAATTGCATCAAAGGTGATGGGCCAGTGTGGCCATGATGGAGCATGGTGTTGAGCCGTATCCATACCGACCACATGCCCCACACCACCAAGCTGACGATGTAGCACACCACACTGCTGAGGGGGGTGCAGGATCAGACAATGAGATGGAAAATACGGACTGGTATTAAGTTGTACAGTTCATAACGGTTTTACTTCATTCACTTCCAAACTGTGCAATTAAGTTGCTCTATCAGTTACACTTTCAGGTCATCCTCGATGGCAAGGACTTTGTGGTCTGCACTAGTTCATTGGTTTTTTTTAAATGTACTAGAACGGAAAGGGGTATCGTTCCTGTTTTTACATTGTGCACGTGTTTATTCTTGTGAAACACATCTGTACTTATAATCACCCCTTTTCTGTAAAGTAACAACTATGTAATACATATGGGTACATAATTATACATGTATACAGTCACTACTTTTTTAAAGGAGTACTTGAGGCCGATGTGTCTTGGAGGGTGTATTGGCCTCCTAATACTGTGCCAAAGAGATGGTCAAACAAAATGGCCGAGACCGATGCAGGTTAACTTCATGTAGTCTGCTTCACGTTAGCACCCTTTATGCTTGAGAGAGCACCCATACCGCAGTGTGGGGTTATGCCTTCTCCGTCACACCACATCAAGGCAGCGCCTGGAGTGGCATGACACCCTGAAGTTGGGTCATTCCAAGGATCGGGCACCTCCTTCAAGTCCTTCTTGAATCAAACATAGACCATCCAATCTAGTTTTTCTTCCAATTAAGTGCGATGCCGAGTAGGTACTCAAGCACTAAGGAAAAACCCCACAACTTTCCTATGTCCACTGGTGAGACATCTCGGAAACATTGCAATTTCCCTGGATGAAATTTTGTCCAGTGGAGACAATCTCAATTCATTTGCTCCATCTGACATAACATTTTCTAAATCTGTTATTTAAACCAAATACTTTCCAATACGCATCTGTTGGGCCACTCAATGGTTATCTTGAAATGACCTAAATAACAAAACATTGAATGGGAAGAGTAAGAAAAGTTTCTTCCCCCATTTCCATTATTTCTTGAGTTGAGCAAAGACACATCAACTCAATACTGTCCACTTCTTGGCAAATGTTCATGTGGAATGCATATTAAAAGTGATTAAGACCTGTGCCACAACAGATCTTACATCTTGTATACAAGTCTCAAGGAAGATTTTTATAAAGCCCCACTTATTGAATTTGCAGCCTGTTATTAAAACTCTGTTTCAATACTGCTACAAAAATGGTATTCTCAACAAAAACGTCAGCTCATGCCACCATAGTCGGCTTATTAAGTTTTTTTTACTGACAAAAGGCAAGGCTGCTAACGTAGCATCTTACTTCAGTTCTGCCACCGGCATTTATAACAGAAGTGACTTTGGAGAAGTCAGGGCACATGACCAGCAGCCCAGAAACCAGTCACCAGTATGGCCTCCCACCTGACAACTGATTACCAAAAGCACTGCTTGCAAGGAGTGTGCCAAGTGTGTGCCATATTACAAAGTGTGGCAATATGGGGGGGGGGGCTGGGCAATGTACAAGTTACAAGTTACTTCCAAGTAGATTTGTAGTGGAGAAATCATGTAAACTGCACGATTAGTTCTTGGTAGAGTTTCCAATCCAAGTAAGCAAACTCACAATGCAAATAATTAAAAGCGGGAAATCCAGCCTGAACATTTGCCAATTGTGTAATTGGGTTCCTTTCTTTACAATCTTGAAATTAAAAGTACATTAAAACGAGAATATACTCTTGATTTGGTTGCCCAATGCTCGTTATCTTTGCCCACTCAAATGGACTTACTAAAGCATGAAGGAGCAAAAGGAATGAAGACTTCCCCCCCCCCCCGAAGGCAAAACCTTTTCATACTTGGTTGCTACCACTGAAGATGTTAAGTTAACTTCAAAAACAAATACAATTACATTCTTCCAGAAGTGCCAGTGGTTACGTACTTGTAATAAGCCGTTTGCACGTTAAATTTGAATTAAATCTGGTGCACTCAGGTATCTGACTGCACATAAACATAACGATTTGAATTCCCCAGACTAAAGACACTGTTGCTATACCTCGTGATTCGGGGTAAACTTTTGCAAAGGGACCACCATCTCTGGAATGGACTGGTTCCCTTGTGCCCTTCTCATTCATTGAGAACAGTGTATGTAACTAAGCAAATGCTTGCCCTGAATCATGAGGTTTTAAAGCAGAATTTAGGTTGTTACATGTATGTTCACTTGAATTTAAAGAACTTAGTGTACCAGATTTTGGTCAAAGTTAACTCGCAAAATGCTTCTTAGGTGGCTTAGACAGTCAAAGCCCGAGACACTACAAATGACACTTGTCTGTTTGAGCAGCTAAATCAGTTGATAAACAAGGTGGTACATTGGAGAAATCGGTGTAATTTATCCCTGGACTGGTCCAAATATTCCCATGCATTTTTGACTGGTGGTGCATGACCCAAATGGCAGCAAACATACAAGGCTGTGCGGCCTAGCATAATCACTATCCTAGTACATGTACATTCAAAATCTAAATTTCATTTCCATTGTTTTGGAGAGGAAAGGGTCGAGTCCATCACATGCATATGTATTCTAGGTCAGACCAAAGATAATGTTCTGTTTTTCTTGTAGCCTTGGATTTTTCATCTTGTAGTCCACTGTACATACACATTCTGGTACCAGTACATTTTAGACAGAAGTCTGCTATATTCACAGGGTAAGGTGATTTACATACATGTACATTATATTACACTGGAATGATTTACAAGTAGAATGCCTGGCCCAGACTTGGCTTGGTTTTTTGGGTGAAAATATAACCAATGTCACACTGTAGCTAAATGCTGCCCAAAGACTGCAACACATGAAAAAGGAGAAGGGAAGAGGAGCTTTGCGTCAAGAATGCGACTGGCAGCTGCAGTAACAGCGTCTGCCAAAATGGGGAGTGAACTGATCACTGCATCCTGAAATCTGCCCATAAATGGTGAGGGATTCTCTATACAAGATGTAGATCTTGTATATTGTGATGAGGTTGTTGCCAATATGAAACGGCAGGTTCACCACAGGTGGATCAGAAAGTTTTTGAGAGTTGGACACTGTTGGGAAAGTAAAGTAAAACAGATATGTATTATTTCCTTTTATAGGAAGATGACGACAAGGTGTTTGATGGTCATATCCCCCCCCCGTCACTGACTCCACACCATCTCCACCCAGCCTGGCTCCCACTATGATTGTGACTCCCCTGCCTAGCCCTGCTCCTGTGGTGCTGACTCCTCCACCCAGCCCCGCCCCCGTTCCCATTGCCCCGCCATTGAAACCACTCGCGCTCGATGACAACCTCTTTGCAGAGGTGACCATTTTGTTATTTGCCCTTGTAGCCATGTACATCAATGGAATATTCAGAGGGTTTGTTGGGAGCAGATGCAAGGGGTGCATCACCGATCACCCCTTGCAAACTCCCAGGGGGAAGAAGTTAATGAGTCGCGGGGAGACATGCAACAACCCGTCCGAGAGGTAAACACTAAAAAATAAAATTCGGGGTTGAGAGAAAATGTTTAAGGCGATGATTTTGACGCTGTAGTTCAAATGAATATTTGATTCGAAAGGTAGCAGATCGAGAGATAAATATGGAGAGCAAAATCCCAAACTGTCGGCCTACACGATTAATGTATCTGGCCTCCGAAGTAACGGAGCGACAGCTAGCTGAACTGGCTGGTAATCTCGTCAAAGAACAGGACGAATCAAAGACGAAACCGTGGAAGGAACTTTTGATGTCTCTCGGTCTTTCCAGCGCCGATTTATTTAGGCATAAAGAAGAAAACAGATTTAATTTGTGGGGGCAATGTTTTTACGCCTTGGTGCAGTGGAAACGGCGTTATTATAAAGAAGCCACGATTGAAAGACTTCTCCAGAGTGTCAACGATGTAATATTTCGATTGGAGCCTATGAATTTTTATACCCGAAGTAAAGTTTTAAGGGGTAAAACCATTTAAGGTCGATCAAAAGGAACAGAATCTATGTGATTTATTTTTTTAAAATTTGACGTCATGCTATGTCATGTCCATAAAATGATAATCTTTTTGTTGAAAAATGATGAGTCATCCTCTTAAGAATGACATCACGCGATATTACGGGCTATTGCGCAATATCTCACTCAAGAAAATGAAATAATAAAAGCGAGTGGAACATCGTGAAAGTGGTATTTTCTGGAAGACGTTCAATCGCGAAAGATGGCTGGTCATCAAACACACGCCCCTTGGTCCCCCCAATGCAACGCATTGCCGTCGTGTAGACCCACGCATAGTTGGGATATGGCCGGCAGCCTTAATACTGTCTCTGAATTTCGTCAAGAAATGGAACAGGCCCCCATGGCTCACGTGCCTTTGGAAGAGGAATCGAGGAAAAGAGCGTTGCTTGAACAAAGAATGACTGCACCACTAAAACCTCCAAAAATATTAGAGCCCAGCCATGGCCCCCGCGCAGGAGCCACCAGTCGCCCCTCTACATAACCTGGCCATTGTTCCTGTCGCCCACCCAACGAGGACCTCTTCACGGAGGCTACGATCTGTCTGTATACACATGTAGCAATGTTCATTAATTTAATGTTTCCTAGTTTTATTGCAAGCAGATTTGGGGGGTGTGCCATCGACCACCCCTCACAAACCCAACACATATGTATCATGGAGGAAAAAGAAACTCTGCTAGACTGGTTTTTAAGGGACATGTTGGAGGAGCTGTGTAACGATAGACTTGAAGAGTGTATTGATACATGGGTATACGAAGTGCAACAAAATCAGGAATTATCTTTACACTACGCGCATTTGGCCATGGCCATTCTTGACCTTTCCACATTTTTATGTTTTGAGTTGCAGCAGGCGGAAAAATTAGAAGCGTTGAGACAATTTATTTTATAGAACTGGGGGTTTCTTCAGGGCTGTCGACACAGGGTTCCTACTTTTTTACTTCTTTTTTTGCTTTGTTTTTTCAAGTAATGTATAGTTAATGGTTTGAAATGTGTAATGTAATTTGTGTTTAAAAAATAATGGTTGTATTGGGAATAGTTGGCGTCGCTTGTTTGTATTTTGGTTTGGGTCAAATAAGAAAAATAATTAATAAATAAAATTAGGCAAAGAAATAGATAAATAAATCAAAACAGAAAATAATTAATGAAGGAAATAGTCAAGAAATAGATGAATAAATCAAAACAGAAAAT